ACGGATGGATGTATATCTTTCTTAAGTCTATAGTAAGCTCTCATACTCAAATCTTAGTAATTTATATTGAGAACAAGTGGGGTGCGGATTACAATATGAGAATAATATAAGGTCTTTACAAAGCCGATAGTAACTCCACAGCTGAAAAGAGAAAATTTACATACAAGATTAGATTTCTTTACATAAAGAGGAAATTTTATCAGATATATAGCTTTCTCACAGTTGTATCCAAGATTCGTATATAAGATAAAACCATTACAAATTAGTTACCAAATGTACACATCTCTCAACATCAGACAAAGCATTTTTAGACAATTTGAGGATTAGATAACTGACTTATTATATTAGGTATGGAGAAAAAAATCTTGTGTAATGTAATGAATCGTTTATTTAGGAAGTACTCTGTGAAGCAAATAGCTTATGTTTTGAAATATTATAATCTTCTTCAGTTTTTTTACATTAACAATTTCATTTTCACGACAGTACCATTATACTTCAGAATTGAATCTGTTTCCTGAGAGATATGCAAATACCACTGACATTAGCTTAACGTTTTGACAGAAAAAACGTCAAAAATTTTTTACTTAAAAGCATTAATAACCGAAGTATTTTTGTTGGCATGCGAAAATTAATGTTTTGACTTTAAATAATCTGCAGTTCTGTACATCTTCTGCATTCTTGTACAAATGATACACCATACCATTTTCTGGAATAAATATTAAGGGTTGTGAAATACTTTTAATTAAACGAAAAGAATTACCTGAAATGAGTCTTTCATTGCTGTGCCACGTCATGATTTTGCCGATTGTTCTCCATTATAATTCCAAGTCCTCGTAAAGCTGCCATCCCAAAGCCAAGTCCATGATTGAGAAGATCCAGACCAGGATTTGTTGCTACCAGTCCATTATTTAAGAAATTTAATATCTCCAAATTGCTGACTGAGGTTGGTTTGTTTTGTGGGATAGATCCCAAAAATGGTGACAGCACTTCCAATCCTTTTAAACCGGCTAAATGCGATTGCCATTCTCGTAAATCTTGCGCAAATGTCATTGACATAAGCAGGAAGGCAATTAGGGAAGATTTCATCATACCTTGAACTAATAAGAATTAATTTTTTCAAAATTTGGGAAATTAGCATTTGATCATTTGGTTTATTCCTTTTCAATTGTTTCAAATGACGTAATTGAGGTAGATATTTGAGGTTTGGTGCAAGGGGAAATAATTAATTCTTGAAAAAATTACCTGAGATAATGAACAATGTTACAACAACCGTAAATAGATCGTACTGACAGCTACCGAATGACTGCTTTTATAGTGAATCCCGGAATATTTGTACAAGTACCGAGCAACTCAATGGAGAATTGCAGAAATATTAAAGATCAAAACGGATGTAAATAAGGCAACCATAAATTTAGTTGGAGTATGAAGAATTGTTATTCTTAATGCTTTCTGCGACTTTCTCACTTCAAACATGCAAACTTTGCCAATGTTTAATTCTTTTAAAAACAAACAGTTCCTATTTACAAATGTAAGGAAAAAAGCTTACGAACTAGATTCAAGTTTTTTCGTTGACACTAATCATTTCAATCTTTGGTCATTTAATCTTCATTGACATTCTTGTTACATTCTATAAATTTCCGAATTTAGCGGTATTGGGCTATGAAGAAGCTTCAAAAGCTCAACATGTATCGGTTCCTTCTCGATGATTGTAGATTTTCTTGTAATACCATGTTAACATATGGCTTTAGCTTTTATGAATTTTGCATTTAATCAAAATGAAAAGGAAGTATGAAACAACGAAATGGAAGAATGCTGCTGGAAGAATTAATTTTTCTAAATTAAAATGGTATATTTACTTAAATTTAAAACATTTTGGTGGATCCCACTAGTTCCCTCATGCGCTATGGCAAGGAGGAATATATGAACGATTTAATTGGATTGACAAAATTAGTGTTTAACCGAGCCGTGGGAACACTTTTTGAGCGAAATGGAACTGATTGCGATCAACACAGAAATTGAAGCCATCATAAATTCTGGACCATTAACACAAATGACGGAAGATTCGACATAAATCCTTCATCCTATTGATTTCATAATTCCCCTGAATAAACTTAGCAGTCCTGCGCCGGAAAAAGGAACCAGATCATGATTATGGCATAAATGGAAGCTTAATACAAGAAAAATTGAAAAGACAATTTCGGAAAACAAATCAAAGTCTAGCCCAGTTTTGGATGCAATGGCAACAAATTACCTCCCTAATTTAAAGGGACGATGATAAGTGCAACGCCAACAAGGATAAAATTTAATTGAAAAATCCCAAAATAAATAAAATGGTAATTGTAGTGGCGAGAGAACAACCAAGAGAAACCTGGAAGTTAGGAATCATTG